GTAGAGGAGAAGAGGGGACAGAGGGGGGAGGAGGAGAGGAGGGGAGGGAAGGGAAGGGAAGAAGGAGGGAGGGAAAAGAAAGAAACAACACAATACATAAAAATAGAAGTACAGATGCTCCTTGACTTATGATGGGGTTACGTTCCCAATAAATCCATGGTAAGATGAAAAACATTCGAAGTCGAAAATACACTTAATACATCTAACCTGTCAAACATTATAGCTTAGCCAGCCTAACTTAAATGTGCTCAGAACACTTACATTAGCCTATAGTTGGGCAAAATTACCCTAATATAAAGCCTATTTTATAATGAAGTATTGAATATGTCATGTTATCTGTTGAATACGGTACTGAAAGTGAAAAACAGAAGTAGTTGTATGGGTACTTAAAGTATGATTTCTACTGAATGTGTATTGCTTTTGAACCATTACAAGGTTAAAAAAAAAAAAATCATGCTGGGCGCAGTGGCTCACGCCTGTAATCCCAGCACTTTGGGAGGCCGAGGCAGGTGGATCACGAGGTCAGGAGACCAAGACCATCCTGGCTAACATGGTGAAACCCCGTCTCTACTGAAAATACAAAAAATTAGCTGGCGTGGTGGCGGGCACCTGTAGTCCCAGCTACTCAGGAGGCTGAGGCAGGAGAATGGCATGAACCCGGGAGGCGGAGGTTGCAGTGAGCCAAGATCGCGCCACTGCATTCCAACCTGGGTGACAGAGCAAGACTCCGTCTCAAAAAAAAAAAAAAAAATCATTTAGGTCAAACCATTGTAAGTCAGGGACCGTCGGTATCTGCTGTCTGCAAGTATATGTTCCTTCAAACATAATGACACAAGTAGGCTGAAAGTTAAATGATAAAAGGTAATATATCATGCAAACACTGATTTTAAGAATGCAGTACTGAGTATGTTAATATCAGATAAAGTAAGTTCAGAGAAAGAAAATTACTAGGGACAAAGAGGGACATTATATAATAATAAAGAGATCTCATGTCTATACTCTCAGCACTTTGGGAGGCCAGTGTGGGCAGATCACTTGAGCCCAGGAGTTCGAGACCAGCCTTGGCAATATGATGAAACCCCATCTCTACTAACAAAAAACACAAAAATGAGCTGGGCACGGTGGTGCATGCCTGTAGTCCCAGCCACTCAGGAGACTGAGGTGGGAGGATTGCTTGAGCCTAGGAGGTGGAAGTTGCAGTGAACTGAGATCACACCGCTGGGAACTTCAGCTTGGGTGACAGAGTGAGACCCTGTCTCCAAAAAAAAAAAAAAAAAAAAAAAAATCAATAACTCAATCCACCAAAAATATACATCAGTCTTTAATGTGTATGTGCCAAACACCAGAGTTTCAAAATATATGAAGCAAAAACAGAGTTAAAAACAGAAATAGACAAATCCACAATTACAGTTGGGGATTTCAACACCCACCCTTAGCAACTGATAGAACTACTAGATAGAAAATCATCAGGATGTAGAAGAACTGAACACCATCAACCAACGGGACCTAACTGATATTTATAGAACACTTCGCCCATTAACAGCACAATACACATTCTTTTCAAATGTCCATAAAATATTCACCTTGATTAAAAAAAAAAAAACACCTTAACAAGTTTAAAAGAATTGAAATGATGAAGTATGTTCTCTGGACATAATGGGATCAAATTAAAAATTAATAACAGAAAGATAACCAGAAAATCTCCAAACCTTTGAAACCATAACTAATATAACCTGAGCAGTTAATGGGCTGGATCATGAAAAGCCTTGTATACTCTATTTAAAGCTCCAGCCCATTATGCAAGAATGGCAAATCACTGAAGCCATTAAGCTAGAAAGTAATATGGGCATATTTTTGCATTAGTAATACAAGTTATAAATCACAAATGCCTGAAATATGGGCAGTAGCTCATATAGAGATTGAGACATAAGCTTCGTAGCTTTTAGACCATAGCCTGGGCAACAGAGTGACTCTGTCTTAAAAAAAAAAAAAAGAAAGAAAAAAGAAAAGAAAAGATATGTAGGGAGGGGGATAGGAGGAAAGAGAAGGAATGAAGTAAAAGATGACCTCAGGTTTCTACCCTGGGTGTCTAGAAGAATGGTTGTTAGTTAATAATGAATTTGTATTTAGACATGTTGTTTTTTTAAAGCTTTTTATTTTGAGATAACTGTAGATTCACATGCATGTAGGAAATAATACAGAGAGATCCTGTAAACTCCTTACCAGATTCCCCCAGTGGTAGCATATTGCAAAACTATATGGTACAGTATCACAACAAGGATATTGACATTGATACAGTCAAGATATAGAACAGTTTCATCACTGATATATTGGATGTCATCAAAAATATTTTGCTCTGTCAAAGACCTTGAGGATGAAAAGACAAATTATAGACTGGGAGAAAAATACATGCAAAGTGCATAGCAGGCAAAGGACTTATATCTAGAATATGTAAATAACTTTCAAAATTTGCTATTTAAAAAATCAGGCCAGGTGTGGTGGCTCATGCCTGTAATCCCAGCACTTTGGGAGGCCGAGGCAGGTGGATCACCTGAGGTCAGGAATTTGAGACCAGCCTGGCCAACATGGTGAAACCCTATCTCTACCAAAAATATAAAAATTAGCCGGGCTTGGTGGTACATGCTTGTAATCCCAGCTACTCAGGAGGCTGAGGCAGGACAATTGCTTGAACCCGGGAGGCGGAGGTTGCAGTGAGCCAAGATCGTGCCACTGCACTCCAGCCTGGGCGACAGAGCGAGACTCTGTCTCGAAAAAAATAAATAAAAAATAAAAAAAATTTAAAAATCAGATTAGGAAATGAGCAAAAGACATGCACAGACATTTCACTGAAGAGGATATACAGATGAGATTTCACTACACACATATCAGAATGGCTAAAGTAAAAAAAGTGATAACATCAAATGTTGATGAGGATGTGGAGAAACTGGATCACTCATCCATTGTTGGTGGGAATATAAAATGGTATCATAGCTGCTCTGGAAAATTGTTTTGTAGTTCCTTTTAAAACTAAAATTGGACTTGCCATACAACCCAGCAATTGTACTCTTGGGCATTTATTCCAGAGAAAATGTATTTTTGTGCAGAAACTTGCACACAAATGTTCACAGCAGTTTCACATATAATATTCAGGCCAGGCACAGTGGCTCACGCCTGTAATTCCAGCACTTTAGGAGGCTGAGACAGGTGGATCACGAGGTCAGGAGTTCAAGACCAGCCTGTCCAATATGGTGACACCCCTTCTCTACTAAAAATACAAAAATTAGCCAGGTGTGGTGGCATGTGCCTGTAGTCCCAGCTACTCGGGAGGCTGAGACAGGAGAATTGCTTCAGCCTGGGTGGTGGAGGTTGCAGTGAGCCGAGATCGCGCCACTGTACTCCAGCCTGGGCGACAGAACGAGACTCCATCTCAAAATAATAATAATAATAATAATAATAATAATAATAATGATGATGTTTGAAAATCTAGAAACTACCCCAATGTCCTCTGATGGATGTGTGGTTAAATAAATTGTAGTACGTCCATACCATGGAATACTACTCAGCAATAAAAAGGCACACACAACTTGGATGAACATCCAGGAAATTATCCTGAGTGAAAAAAGCCAGTCTCAAAAGGATGGACATATACTGCATGATGCCATTTATGTAATACCATGAACTAACAGAGAGGTGGAAAACAGATTGTGATTGCCAAGAGTTAGGCTTGAGGGTCTGAGGTGACTGTGGCTAAAGGGTAGCACAAGAGTGTCTTTTGATAATAGTGCTTTTAAGTATCTTGAATGTGGTTGTGGTTACACAAAGCTATACATGTGAGAAAAACTGCATAGAGCTATACACATATGTACAAAAATGAGTGCATGTATAACTGATGAAGCCTGCATAGGTTCTGTGCATCATCCCAATGTCAGTTTCCTGGTTTTGATATTGTACTCCAGTTATGCAAGATGCTAACATTGGTGGAGACTGGGTGAAGGTTGCAGGAGGCCTCCCTGTTCCTTTATTTTCAACTACCTGTGAATTTTCATTATTTCAAAATAGAAAGTTTAAAAAGTCAGTGCGATGGTTAATTTTAGGTGCCAACTTGACTGAATAGAAAGCTGGTAAAGCATTATTTCTGGGTGTGTCTGTGAGAGTGTTTCCAGGGGAGATTAGCATGTAAGTCTGAGTGAACTATGTGGGAAGATCCACTCTCAATGTGGAGAGGCATCAGTCAACTTGCTGTGGGTTCAGAGAGAACAAAAACAGACAAGAGGTGAATATGTCAATCTATCTGCTGAAACTAGAATACACTCTTCCGCTCCTGTCCTGGGACAACAACTCCAGGCTCCTTGGCCTTTGGACTCCAAGACACATACCGGTACCCTTGTCCCCCCTGGTGGGTTCTCAGGCCTTTGACCTTGAACTGAGAGTTACACCACCTTCTTCTTGGTTCTGAGGCTTTCCGGCTTGGACCAAGCCTTGCTACCAGCATCCCAGTGAGGTGGGAGGCAGAACTTGACTCCAGAGGCGGGGCTTGGACACAGGATCCAATTGAGGACTAGCTAAAACAGGGAAGGGGTGGAAGCAGCTTTCCATAAGACACTCCCATTAGTGTGTCCATGTCAGTTTACCATTACCATGGCAACACCTAGGAGTTGCCACCCCTTTCCACGGCAATGATCTAAGGACCCAAAAATTACTACCCCTTCCTATAGGCCAGACACGGTGGCTCACGCCTGTAATCCCAGCACTTTGGGAGGCCGGGGGTGGGGTGGGGTGGATCACCTGAGGTCAGGAGTTCGAGACCAGCCTGACCAATATGGTGAAACCCCGTCTCGACTAAAAATACAAAAATTAGCTGAGTGTGGTGGCGTGTGATTGTAGTTCCAGCTACTTGGGAGGCTGAGGCAGGAAAATCGCTTGAAGTCAGGAGGTGGAGGTTGCAGTGAGCTGAGATCGTGCCATTGCACTCCAGCCTGGGCGACAGAGTGAGACTCCATCTCAAAAAAACAAACAAACAAAAACAAACTACCCTTTTCCCAGAATTTCTGCACAAACTGCCCCTTAATCTACATGTAATTAAAAGTAAATATAACTATGACTGCAAAGCTCTCTGCCTATGGGGTAGCCCTGTTCTGCAGGAGCAGTCATGGAGCTGTAACACTGCCAGAGCTGTAACACTGCTGCTTCAATAAAACTGTCTTCTTCTACCCTACCACTGGTTCACCCTTAAATTCTTTCCTGGGTGAAGCCAAGAACCCTTGCAGGCTAAGTCCCACTTTGGGGGTTATCTGCCCTGCTGCATCAGGGTCTGCAGCTTGCAGATGGCCTCTGGTGGGACTTCTTCAGCTTCCATGATCTTGTGAGCCAATTCCCCAAATAAATCCTCTCTCTGTCTCTCTCTCTGTCTCTCTCTCTCTCTCTCTCTCTCCTATTGAGTCTGTCTCTTTGGAAAATGCTGACTAATATAATTGGGCTAAAAACTAGCACGACCAGTCATAGCAGGCCTGCATCATTGTCACACCATATGTTTGGAGATATTTTCACTGCTGCTGCTCCCTATAAATGAACAGAGTCCATGGAAACTTCAATGAGGCATTCTTTTCCAATTGTGTATATTCACAGAGGAACTAACGGCACTTGTTCCTTGTGTTTTCTGAACCTTGATGTTGTCATGTGATTTTGTTTTCCATTTTGACAGTGCTGTACTTGTGGCTGGATGATCTCACCCCAGCTTTTCTTCTTCCGTGGGATGGTGATGATGGTGTATGTTTTAAAGAGTTCTCTGATTTCTCTCTCTCTTTCTCTCGTTAAAACTTCTTTTCATAGCCCCAAATAAAAATGCTCATTGCATCTTTCCTTCTGCCTGCCCCATTTTGGAATGAGAACGTAAAGCCTTTGGGTCCCCTAAATGTAACTTACACATTTTATGTTCCAAGCTTTATTGAAGCGTCTGAAGATTGAGCATTCAGCCACTCAGGAGTGTCTTACGATTCTAAGCAGCCAGGAAATCCCAGGGCCTTCTCTTGTACCTTTTCCATGGTGAATAACCTTGTATTCAGTGGAGAAGAGAGGAGACACATCAATTACACAGAACTGTTCTTTGGAACACCTGAGTGTCCATGTAGTCATTACTAATAATGTTAAATAATACAAAATGACAACATGCAGGTACTTTTGAATACTGAGAGACCTGGAATGTAACTTTGGCACAACTTCAAAGCCACAAGTGCTCCAGTTTATGTCTTATTGGAACAAATCACTTCCCCTTAGACTCCCACAAAGCCTCAAAGATGATGACAAAAAGCAATATCATTTCCTTCTTGTATGGAGAGAAGAAATAAAGTCAGAGAGCCCCATGTTTCCCGAATGGATGACTAGTCAATATTATATGAGAAGAGCAAAATCCGTCTCCTTAACTGGGCCCCTCATTCGCCATTTATGGGGTTCTCAGTGCTTTGGTATCAGCTCTGGTCACAATGTTTGATAGTGAGAGAGACATACCTATTCATTTTGGGAGAGAAGATATCTCGTAGTATTTCTGATATAGCGCCTTGAATTCTTGAAGGAAAAAAAATTGGTTTATGTCAATACCAGGGCATTGGTGCTATTACTGAAGTTCTAAATCCTAGGGATGACTTAGAAAAGATTTAAAGACCAAAGTCAGTAAGTGGAGGTTTTTTTAAAACACCACAGATGGCTTCCCCTCCCCTGACCTTTTTAAGGGTCATTCCTAAATGAAGCAAACCAACCACATACTGACTGATTCTTATACCCTAATCCCTGTACATTCAGCCTTTCTTAATGAATTAAGGGATGAGGGAAGATGCTACTAGATTATTTTTCTGGAACTGACACATAATTGCTATGTTATGAAACTGATACATAATAGCTTTGTTACCAAGATGTTTTAGCTGTTTGTTTGATGGTTTGTGCCTGTTAGTTTTGTTTGCTTTGGATGGTTTTTCCTTTAATGATTGTTACATTTCAGGTGATCTGACTCTAGCTGTTTAGGGATCTTTCTGAGACTCTCTAGGCTGAACAGGGACAAACTCTTGTGTGTGTCTGGGAGTATAACATAAGTGCCCACGTGCCTGCCAGTCTATCTCAGATGCCCTGCGGTCATAGTGGGGTTTGCGATCAACAAGCCTCTTCAGAATGCCCTGGTTTTCCATGGTGATTCTCACTAGCTCGCGGTTCCTCGTTTCTCTGTTTAAGCTGAAAAACACAAAACCCCGAGATGGGTGAAGAAGAAAATGCTCATCTTAACAAGTGGGGGAGATGAAGTCATGAGATCATAAATGCCAGGCTGTCTAAGTGCAGGGAGTAACCTGTCCTGCTGAGCCCACAGGCCACTGGGGCAGCCTGTTGATCCACACTGCACTCTGGGAAATGTACACAGCATTTGGAGGTTTATATCAGTGGTCCTCAACCCTGTTGCCCATGAGAAGATTCTACTTCATTGATCTGAGGTGAACCACGCACACTGGCATTTTGTTAAAATTCCCCAAGGATTATAATGTAAAACCAGGATTGAGAACTTCTGGTTGGGGGAAGGTCTCCCTGTGGATAAATCCCTGGCGACAAGTTTTGGGTCATCTCGCTCCTCTCAGCTTTCAACTTATACCAGAATATAGCAGGATATAGGAATGGCATCTTGACCATCTCCTCCCCCTACACCAAATTCTTTCTCTTGCATGTGCTTCTTTTGTATCCTAATCACACTGCATTGTCATTATTTCCATAAATATCTCCCCTACAAGACCTTGAGTTCTTTGAGGTTAGGAAATATACATCTCATTTCATCTCTGTTATTCCTGGTGCCTAGCACATAGTAGTTGCTTAGGAAAGATTTCTGGAACCAATTTTAAGAATATCACATCATAGCCCAGCCGTGGTGCTATGGTCCAGATGTCTGTGTCCCCAAAATTCTTATGTTCAAATCCTAACCACTAAGGTGATGGTTAGGGGGTGCGCCTTTGAGAGATGATTAGGTCACCCTAATGGAATTAGTGTCCTTATGAAAGACGCCTGAGAGAAACCCCTTGCTCCTTCTGCCACATGAGGTTACAGTGAAAAGATGGCTGTCTGTGAAGCAGGCCCTCATCAGATGCCGAATTTACTGGCACCTTCATCTTTGGACTTCCTTGCCTCTAGAACTATGAGAAATAAATTTTTGTTGTTTATAAGCCACCAGTTTATACCATTTTGCTATAACACCCTATAATGGACTAAGACACATGGCCACCATCTTATAAAAGTGGGCAGTGCATTCTTGTGACAAACTGAATAGGACTCTGAAAAGTCTCTTAGATGAAATAAAAGCTCTTTAATGCTAGAGAAAGGTCCCCATTTTTAAAGTTTTCATTCTGTGTAACATGGTCTGTTTGGTTCTCCCTCAAGATAACTTTCCTTAAGTACTCCTCTGGCTTGGGAAAACCTCACACTAAAACCCAAGAGGAAAGTCAATTTTGACTTTTCAAAACTGAAATGAAGACAAAGAACATTACCTCTTGGAAAAATATTCATTCCAGCAATCCACCTTGGCAGGGCCACGATGGGCATTTGCGATTTTCTGACACAGTTGCTTGTTTTCATACTCGATTTTGTTGATTTTCTTTTGTTCACCCTGGTAAGAAACCACACCTCACCGTGGTGACATCATCAGTACACTGCTCCCACACACAATGACTTAGTGTCCCCCTCCTCTGAGATCATGGGAAAGGGGTGCATTGAGGGCCACAGGGGAGACTGGGAGCAGAACTTAAAAGACTGGGACGCTGGGCGCGGTGGCTCACTCCTGTAATCCCAGCACTTTGGGAGGCCGAGGTAGGCGGATCACGAGGTCAGAAGACTAAGACCATCCTGGCCAACATGGTGAAACCCTGTCTCCACTAAAAATACGAAAAATTAGCTGGGTATGGTGGCATGCGCCTGTAATCCCAGCTACTCGGGAGGCTGAGGCAGGAGAAACGCTTGAATCTGGGAGGCGAAGGTTACAGTGAGCTGAAATCATGCCTCTGCACTCCAGCCTGGGCGACAGAGCGAGACTCTGCCTGGGGGGTGGGGGGCGGGAAATACTAGGGGTGACGTGTGTGGGAAGGAGTGTTAACAAATCTTTGAGTAGATGGGTATTTAGGAGGCTCTGAGAAATTGAACCTCTTTAGGAAATGGACTGGAAGTCCATAAAATACATCTGCACATCTGCAAGCAGCGAGAACAAATACCTGTAGTTTGCTCAATTTTAAAATGTGATGTGTGTGCGCCACTGGAGGTTTGGTATCAACAGTAGGCTTCACTAGAGAAGGGGGATAAAAGGGAACAATGTTACATCACAGGAATTCCAGTAGCGGCCTCAGAAAACCAGCACTAGACAGTGTCCTTGACTAATGAACACTTTTGAATTAGGACCTTAATGCGACTCAGGAAGTTTGGTTTGGTTTAACTTATCAAATGGACATCTCTGGAGACTTTTGAGCAGAAACAAAAGAATAATGAAAGTAAAATTTACAGAGATAAATATCCTTTTAATCCAATGAAAAAGCCTCTCTTCCAATCCTTTTCCAATATTTTTAGCCTGTCTATTGGCTTCTGAAGTCCTATCCTCTTTCTAACGTACTTTGGCTTTAAAGAGTTGAAGGGAGTATTTCCATCCAGTGAACTCCCTTGTGGAAGATATATTTTGTTATTGGTGCTAATGCCCTCTTGCCCAAATTCAGCAGATAAGGCCATATCATCCCAAAGCTGTGACCTGGTCTGGTTTACTGTCGATCTCTTTATGGGTTACCATTCCCAAATCCCTGATAGCGGTGTCCAGCCCAAAGTGCCCACATACCTATTTGTATTCTATTCTTGTGAGATATGTAGTGGCCAAAGTCCAGTTTCTTTCTGAAGGTTGTGCTTTGCCTGTGATTAGAGACGATAACAGGGTAGGCCAGATAATCCAGGGAATTGTTCATCTTCTCTTCCTAGTCTCACTTCAGAAATGAGGTACCCGGGCTCCTCTGTGAGGTGCCTAGCTGTCCCCATGACAAGCTGTCATAGTTACCCAGTTATGACATCAGGGACAGGTCCCGGGAAGGGAGTAGGAGCAGCGGAGCATGGCTGGCTGCCTCTGGGCTTCTGTTTTTAATGCTAACCTAGGCTCAAGTCAAGGAACTCGAAAGCGTTCTCCCCTGCTTAGAATGCAGATGCTACCAGCCAACACCAGAAGGAAAGGAGTGGTGTGCTGGGAGGGGTGGCCAGGGATGGGGTGGGGTGAGGGGTACAGAAATTCCAGCCTTGGTTACACATCTTGGGCTATCAGCTAAGTAGTCTCCACTGCAATAGCTTGCCTGAAGGTGCAAGACCACAAGTTTTGGGGGAGGAGAAAGTTGACCCTAATGATAATCTGATCCAATTCCTTTTGCAAATGAGGAAACTGAAGACCACAGCAGCAGCAATGTTACTCAAGAACCAAATTAGTGGCAGGGCTGGGCTCAGGATGTGGGGTTCCTGAATTCAAGGCCAAATTTGCTCTTTGCAGGAAGGGAACTGCCAGTCTTTCATGGCAGTAGGGGAGGGCGGCTTTCCTCCAGTACAGACTATCTTTTGTACTTAGTGGGAGTTCAGGAAATGCTGAGTGGCTTACGGTGGGCTGGCATCTGCTCCAGGAAGGGCTGCAGGAGTCTGATTGATCTCCACCCCAGCACAGGGTGTAGCACCCACTGGGTGCTCAACGCATTTGTTGATGAAGGACCAACACTTATTGAGTGCTCGCCATGCAGTGCTGGGTGCCTTCCTTGAATGTCACATTTAACTCTTCCAGCAATCACCTGGGCGCTTGATTCTGTCAAGCGCCCGGGTGATGCCTCCACAACAGGGAGCCGCTCACGAGCCGAACCCCGCGGTCCCTGTAATCCTGAAAGACTGAAGGAACCTCTAGGTGTACCCCCGCCACAGAAACGTTTATTGGGCCCTGCATTTAATTCAGGGAAGGAAGTTACCGCGCTTCCCAGTTTACAAAGATACACAAAGATACACAAACGGCCTGGACCGGGATGGGGCGAGGATTCCCGAGACTCGAGGGCGGTGGCGTCTCCCCCCGGGGACGCGCCCAGGAGTGGCGCGCTGGGCCCCCGCGTCACGGCGCCCGCGCTCCTCAGCTCCCGGAGCCCTGCGGGCCCGCCCCTGGGGCGGGACTGGGCGGCTCCCGGAGCGAGCCCCCGCCCAGCTGACCCGCCGCTCTCCGCCTCGCTTGCTCCTGCCGGGCGTGCTGGGCCCCGCCGCCGCCATGTCGGGCTCGTTCGAGCTCTCGGTGCAGGATCTCAACGACCTGCTCTCGGACGGCAGCGGCTGCTACAGCCTCCCGAGCCAACCCTGCAACGAGGTCACCCCGCGGATCTACGTGGGCAACGCGTGAGTCCCCCCAGTGAGCCCGGCCCCGCCGTCCCTCTCGGGACGCCCCGCCCACTCGAGGCCGGGGTCGGGGTGTCGCGAGTCTTGGGTTGGGGGAGCCCGGGCGCGATCGCCCCTCCGGGAGCCACAGCGGGGGCTTGGGAGGTGGCTGGAGTCGACGCCTACCCCAGCGCGTGGGGCCAAGGAACTGGAACCCTGCCTGGCCGGGCGCGGCCATTCCCCGTCGCGGGCTGCACGGAGCCCGGGGGGCGCCTGCCCGGGTCCTCAGCCGCCACCCCCTTGGGGCTTGGCCTTGGGCGGGGTCGGGGCTACCATGTTCACTTAACAGGTGGCCCTCGGTCGCCCGGCCGGTCTCCTGCCAGCGCGTCATGTGACAGCTGCCTGGTTCTGCAGTGAGGTCACCGCGGAATGTCTGCCTTCGCCGCCATGGCAACGGGCCGACGTCACAATTCGGGCATGGAATTTTCCTGGCCCGGCAGTCCCGGATCAGGGAACCTAAACACCCCAAACGAGCGAGTCCGGGGAGCTGGGCCGGGATTTCCAGGCCCCCACCTTCCAGATGTGGTTTGATTTACAGGAGATTCTAGAACGGTCCACTGATAATACCCCTAAGGACCTGAGCCACTACCTAGAAAAGGCTCTTGACCTTTCACTCCCAGGCTCTGTCACCCTGGCTGGAGGGCGCGATCTCGGCTCACTGCAACCTCTGCCTCCTGGGTTCAAGCAATTCTCTTGCCTCAGCCTCCCGAGTAGCTGGGATTACAGGTGCCCACCACCATGCCTGGCTAATTTTTGTATTTTTAATAGAGACGGGGTTTCGCCATATTGGTCAGGCTGGTCTCTTGGCCAGGCTGGTCTCAAACTCCTGCCCGCGTCGGCCTCCAAAAGTGCTGGGATTACAGGCGTTAGCCACTGCGCCTGGCCAGTAAGAATTTTTTTTTTAATTTAAATTTTAAAATTTTTTATAGTAAGAGTGTCTAATCAGCAGGAGAGAACCAGTGTTAGAATTCTGACATGTGAAATAGGAGCCACAAGAAAGAATAGATTAGCATGCCTGTACAGCCTTGGAAAGGCTCAGGTTGGATTTTCATGAGACTCTGAGGACCCAGTTACCAAAATCCTAAGCTCCATGGCTCAGCCCAAGGATGGCATGTTGAAAATTCGAAACTAACCCTCCTCCCATTTTACAGAGGAGGAAATGGTGGCTCAGAGTGTGTGAGGGACTACAAGGACAGGGTCAATGTCTTGTTCATGTATGTATTTCCTGACCTCTGCTAGGACCTGCTGTTCAGCCTGCCAAGAACTGCCACAGAAATGGGGTTCATCGTGGAACTAGAAGGGGTCCATCAGGCCCTAGCCTCATGGGGACAGTTCTCATCCATTCCATCATTCATTCACCAGTCTGAGTGCCTACTTTATGTCAGGCACTGTACAATGTTCATTCATAGTAGAGATAGTAATAATGATAATGGTAAATTTTTTGAATATTGAATTATTAATAGTATTAGAGGCCTGGCGCGGTGGCTCACACCTGTGATCCCAGCACTTTGGGAGGCTGAGGCAGGCGGATCACCTGAGGTCAGCAGTTCAAGACCAGCCTGACCAACATGGTGAAACCCTGTCTCTACTGAAAATACAAAAATTAGCTGGGCGTGGTGGCCGACGCCTGTAATCCCAGCTACTTGGGAGGCTGAGGCAGGAGAATCGTTTGAACCCGGGAGGTGAGGTTGCAGTGAGCCGAGATCGTGCCATTGCACTCCAGCTGGGCAACAAGAGTGAAACTCCATCTAAAAAAAAAAAAGTATTAGAGAAGGGAGATGAATGGGAGTGACTCTTCAAAGGATTTTTTTCTATCAGCCACTGCTTTACAGTCTTGTGCAGTGTCCTAAGCAGGAATAAACAGAGTCCCACAGTGTCAGCCAAAGGCTTCAGGAATTGTAAAGCTCTAGAGACACCCTTCCTCTTGCCCCAAGCAGCAAGCAGGCCTTGTTAGCCTCAGGAACGCCGCTTGCTTGGGCAGCTTGGCCATTCAGCTGTCATCACTTCCCAAGTGGAAACCAAGGTTGTGCACGTCTGGTGTAGCCAGAGTGGCAATTGCTGATGGCCCCTGTAGAAAATACATCCCTTGCCCTCTAAGCACATCTGACTTTGACTTGGCCAGGGGTGTGGAGGTTCCTCAACAGGAAGGATCAGTGAGCACCAAGCACCAAGAGGACTTGGGCTCCATCCCCTTAACAAAATCAGGGCTGCAGCCATGTCCTCACAAGGCAGAGACAGAGCCTGTGTGAGCCACATTTGCCAGGCCTTGGGGGTTTTGCAGCAGATGTGGGCATGAGAGGCAGAGTGAGGTGTAAGATAGAGCAGGGCTGGATGTCGGGAGAAAGGAGATCTTCCCCCAGCTCTGCCACCGGCAGCACATGGGGCCTGTGCTCATCCCTCCGCTATTCCTGTTGGCCCTGAGTTCAAGCTCTGTTAAGCGGGGATATTGCCATCCTTGTTCCTCACAGGGCTGCTCGCAGTGAGCAAACAAGATCACATAGGAGGTGACATTTTATAAAGTATAAACTGCCATTTGGGCTGGGATGTTTTGTGAGATGAAATAAAAGGGCCTTTTCACCATTCAAACCAATTATGATTTTTATTTTTATTTTATTTTATTTTATTTTATTTTATTTTATTTTTCAAGACAGAGTCTTACTCTGTCACCCAGGCTAGAGTGCAATAGCATAATCTCGGCTCACTGCAACCTCCAACTCCTGGGTTCAAGTGATTCTCTTGTCTCAGCCTCCCGAGTAGCTGGGATTACAGGCCTGTACCACCACACCTGGCTAATTTGTGTATTTTTAGTAGAAACGGGGTTTCACCATGTTGGCCAGGCTGGTCCCGAACTCCCGACCTCAGGTGATCCACATGCCTCGGCCTCCCAGAGTGCTGGGATTACAAGTGTGAGCCACTGCACCCGGCCTTAGATCAATTATTTTGTAACCTCCCATAGTTCTGTTGGGGCCACTTACTCCCCAAGTACTAAATCACCCAAAAGAGCTTTGGAAATGTAGCTAGTGGAAGGTGGTAGGTAGGATCCCTCTAGGGGGCAGGGAGGGGGCTGCCTGGCGCATGACAAATTTATTTTTCTACACTCATTCACCACTTATTTATTCAGCACCTACTATGTGGCAGGTACTATAGCAGGTGGTGGGGAAACAGACTTAAAGCAGACATGGTTCCTCTCTCAAGGAGCTCAAAGCCTGGATGTCTGAACACAGAAGCACAATCAAGCATTAGAATCATAGTGCTCACTACCATGTCCGGCTCTGTCAACGGAATAGCCCATTTAATACTCATAACAACCTCAGGGAGAAGGCACTGTTATCCCCATTTTACAGAGAGGGAAACTGAGGCACAGAAAGGTTAAATGGCTTCTTAAGGTTGCCTGGCTAGTACCTGGGCTGGGTGCAGACCCAGTTAGTCTGGTTCCAGAGCCCATTTGTAACCAGTTGGCTATGTACACCCCCATCACAGCTTAGGGAGCATGGGGCCAAATGGAATGGAGGGGAGACAAGCACTGCAGAGGGTGTGAAAGATGAGAGGGCGCATTTCTCCAGAAAAGGTGGGAAAGAGCATTCCAGAGGGAACAGCATGGCTATGAAACCACCAGTCTATTTGGGGAAACTGCTGGCAATTCGATATGGCCAGAGTCAGGGAGGAGGTCATAAGTTGAGGCAGGAGAAGCCGGCAGGGGCCAGAGCATGGAGGGGTTCCCTGCTTTGCCAAGAGGTTTAAATCCTCCTTCATCTTCCTCCCC